CCAGGCGGTTTGCTTTTGCTTTTTGTATCAAATAAATTTAGACCTGACTGATTGGCGTTGATGAGATAATATTATTTTATCATCGTAAATAATGAATCTATTCGTTAACGCTATTTAAATCAAATGTTTTGTTTTTGCCAATTTTTATTCTTATGGTGTAAAAAAATACAGAAAATCGGAGAAGCCTCCTGTATCCTGCGTGCATGAGGGTGGCATAGAAAGCCTGTTCTCTTATACAAATTTATATCTATATAATTAGGGATTCTTGTTATCGACCGTTTTCATATTTGTTCATATCAAAAATTTTAATAATCGTTTTATAATATCTCAGTCGGAGAATATCGATGTTCAGGCATACTGGCGTAATGCATCAAATTCTAATTTCATAATCTTTCAAGATACTAATAACAATAAGATGGAAATTTAGTTAAAAAGTATTTCAAGTGTTGTACGTAGTTTGAAACAGGGGTCGCCAACCATCGGGAAGCAGTGCAATGTCATACCGCATGAGGCAATATGACCATGTTTCAGTATTTGCTTGTCTTAACTTGAACACGGTATGATGAAATGATATAAGTTTACGTAAAATAATATTCAAAAAAGAAAACTGATCGTTAATCAATATCGAACATTAGAACTCGCTTGCGTTATACAGTTGAGTTGAACTTCCAAGTTGAATGAAAAAAGTGTGTTTGAAGGGCGGTGGCAAATAAATTTGATTGCCGACGCCTGGTTTAAAATAATCGCTCGGTACATTATTTTCCGGACCCGTATACCAATCAACGACGTGTGTAATACCCGATAAAATTCGACCTGGGAGATAGCAATGCAGTCCTAAATTTTTACTGATTTTTCTTCATTTCTATAATGCGATTCTACTTTCTACTTAACTTGGAATCATTCTGATTGAATTTTCTACTCGTTATCAAAGAGTTCCATAAAACTATTTCTATTTGGAATATCTTTATTAAGTAATAATCAGGCGTCAGTTTAACTGTAAAAGCGCCTCACATTAGACCCGCAAAACTGCCCAATATAAGTACAATGTTCATAAGTACATATATTTATTCTAAAAATATTTTGATTATGTGTGTAATAAATAACTACAGAATCTGGGGTGTCTCAAAAATGTAGTGGACACGTGGGACAAGTAGGACAAGTATGATACGTGACACACGTGGGACAAGTGGGACACGACATTTTTGAGACAACGCCCGACAGCAATTAATCGTAATCGGAAAAGCGTACTTAAAACAAAGTTTAAGAATTGAGTGAGACATTATTCGATATTGCTCAACGCATGTATAATATAAAGTAATTATTATTACGAACTCCTATTCTGATGTAAAGCACGCATCTGTCTGCATTTGTTCAAAGTTAACGAAACAATTAGTTTTGTAGTTTATTAAATTAATAATGTAGTTGACAAAAGTATAGAGTATAATGTCATTTTGATGGATTGATAATTAGGGTTTCTTGATCCACAGAAAATACTTTGATTTGTTTTCATAATTACGTGACATTTGATGAGTATTTTTGTCTTTTTACTTTTTGATTTCAATTTTTTTTTAAATGCTCCAAACTTGAATAATTGCAGGTTTTGTACGTTGGTTCAACACGTTTTCATCGTTAACGTGAAAGTTCATATATCGACATTTTCTGGTTAATTTAATATAATATGTTAACACAAAACACATAGATTAATTTGTCTGTATTCCCCTGAATGAATGTACTTAACTCTCTTTTTCCTAATGATATATATATTCGTATTACCATCCTTGGTCATAATTTGACAATAATAGTTATTTTCGGACTATTTTACGTTTATGTTCATGTTTTGTGAAGTATTCCCGCACTAACTAAAATCATTTTTGGCTTCCAACTATGATCCGTGCTTGATCCGTCAAAATTTTTTTTTTGTAAATTTTTTATTCTACTACTAGGTGAATTTTATTTGTGTAGGCATTTCAAAGCTTAGAGATACACGAAAGTATTTGTCATTACTTCAAAGATAAGTCATTTGATCGAGCGGGAAACAATTTCGCGCACATAATAAACAAACAAAGATTCCAGACAACTATCGTGAACATGCTCTTACATATCATTGAATATTTCGCGTTTCGCTTCGCTTGCGAAGCTGAGTCTGGTTTTTCTGCAAAGGTGACGTAATGCTCTTTGAGCAGAGCGCTTAAATCTTGTTTCTTTGTAACTCGTGTTCATCGGAGCGATGAGAGTGTGAAACGTTCTCTCAAAATTTTTTGAAATTTCTCTCTTCTTACCGGGTAAGGTCGAACAGTTTGCGGATACGTCATCTGGGCGCGTTTTAGTAGGAAGACGCGAAAATAGGCTTTTCAAAGAGATATTGGGGGTGTTCCTGGCACGTTTGGTTAACTAGTCATTACATATTATAAAATGGTACAAAAAGTCGATTGTAACCAGCGGAAAAAGAGGGTTAAACGTAACAAATAAAATACGGGTATGAGCCAATTGACAGCATGATAGAGGAACATCGAAATTACATCATAATAGTTTCTAATTGAAAAAAAAATCATTATCAATTGTGCTTTTAAAATTTAAGGACAAAATTCGTTGGAACTAGTTTGAACTTAAAATAGATGATTGAAACACATAACAATATTCCTGAAAGAATAGTAAATATATCGGTTGAAAAGATTTGAACTTCCATAAAAACTATATTTTTAAATAATTCAAATGAAAAATTTCAATAAAAATTCATGAAGTTAATGTTTTGAATGAACATAAAACACAATTTTAAAGGATTAGGCCGAGCTATTATACTCAGGCTTGTTCGTGAAAATGAAATGGGACAGCACACATTTGTATTTCCCATGGAACACATGAGACTCGAAATTTTTTGAGACACCCTTTTTTATGTAATTTTACGTTTTGTGCGTCAACAAAATTATTATTATGTCTTTACCGGTGCGGTTTTAACATGATGGTCAGGTAACGCGGTATCACGTTAGTGCGCTTGAGTGGGCTGAAAAAACGAAAGTCAAAGTTGGATGGTACATTATGTGTGAAGGAACTATTGTTACGTCACAACTTTGCTTTTAGTGGTTTGAGACTATGTGTTTGAAGAAGAAGATCGTTATGAAAAAATTTCTTTTCTCTTTAATTACTCGACCAATTTCTTTGAAATTTTCAGTGGTTATGAATTGTATTTTTTGCTGAAAGGCTATTACTTTTATTTATTCCCGAATTTATTAAATACTATGAGATCTGATATTTCATCCAAAATTTTGCTGTGTAACTTCGCTGTGGTCTAGCGTTTGATTAGGCAAAATTTTGTTACGCAAAAGTTCGAAGTTTTTTCACGTTACCGGTAGTGATTAAGGTAAGACAGACTACTGCTTGGCTGAAGTATGTTGTTGTTATTGTTGGAATTTTTTTTCTTATCGTTATGAAAATAATTTCTTGCTTGTCTCTTCACATACTGAACCAATTGCTTTGAAATTTTCAGTGGTTGAATATTGTATTTTTCACCAGAATGCTATTACTTTAATTTTATTCCTAAATTTTCAATGAAATCTATGACATCTGATATTTTGTCTAAAATTCTGCTGTATTATTATTTACTCATGAACATAGATCATGAATCATGTAGCATACATCACCTTTACAGGACCTGGAAAAGCCAAGACGGTAGGCGTACCATTACCGTCCATATATTTGAGAATAGCTCTCTTATTAGTTATATATTAGTTCTAAATTTTTAAAGTTAACAAAGTCAATAAATTTTGTCGTTTTGCATGTCTCTTTGTACATGGAGTCTTATTTAGTAGACGCTTAACCTAAACTGAACAATTGTATTCCAATGGGAATCTCATGGGATGGGATGGGACAGGCATAAATTACTATGGAATGGGACAGAAAAATATGTCCCATAGACAAGCCTGGCTATAATATATAACAATTAATAAAATAATTTAATCTTTCCATGTCTATCTCGTGAAAAGCACAAACAGAATATAAAATTTCGTGAAAACTCTTATTAGTTTTAATAATACCATTGACAAATGGCTACGGTGGTTGGTGGTAGGAATATTTGCAGCAACAACAAAAATGACTTTTAATATGTACAGTTTTAAAATATGCAAAATAAAACATAAATAGTTACATATTATATAATGTGTCAAATAAGCAAAAACGAAATCATACATTTGGTTATTTATGATTGCAACCAATATAATAGTAGATTCGTCAAAGAATGTTGATCTGCGATCTGAATTGCCAATGGTAGTGTTTGCATTGTGATGTTTTCTCAAATTTGTCATTACTATGAATTCGAAATCTAAGGTTGTGAAAAATATATTTTGAGTTTTGAAATATGCTCTTTATAACTCAAATTTATTAAATTATGTTTATTATCTTAGCGAAAATTGTATTTACTTCTACAAATTTAACTTATCAAACAAATACGAGAAGTGATTTTTCAACATTTTTTCAATTTCAGTGTTATTATCATCCATTTGATACTCATATCACAGCTATCGCAAAACCTGTATCATTATAATAACACACCAAGTAGTTAAATACTATTCCATCCTGCAATTTATTTCATAACGCTTAATCATTGTCTGAATATTATCTTAATTAAGCATCTATTCGGAGAAAACATATATACGTAGACATTGATTTCTTTGCAATTCCTAAAATGTGCATTCAATTTAACTTTAATGTAACGCACGCAATTTCTTATACAGAAAAAAAATGTCATGTCTCATGATAAAACTTTAAGTGAATATTTAAGCGAGCCACAAAATTCGTGAATTTCTCCCGATATAATTTGTATGATTACAAATACATATGGTTTACGTCACGAGACAAACGCAATCTCATAAAATTTGGACTAGTTACTAATAGTTCTGAAATTTCGTATAGAAGGACATTTTATGCAACAATGAAAAAGGCAAAATTCGCTGGAAATAGATAACGACTGCTATAAAGGGAAAGAAGATTTCATTTTTGTTATTCTGCAAGTATTTGCTACAAGTATACAATGGCTCTCCGTTGTCATTTAATATTTCTTCTTGTGGTTCTACTTACGTCGAATACCTTGGCAAAACGCAGAGGAAGAGCCCGCATATGTCCACGTCCATACTGTACGTGTAATCGTATTTTTATTTTTTATTTCTTTTTTGTTTTTATGTTATTTCTTTGTAATATAAAAGATATTTTTGTGCTTTCCATAATTAAGTTTTAATCGGTCAAAATATGAGAATAGTCATTGATACAAATAAATCTGACGAGTTCGTCCAACGACAAACCTTAAAAACAAACAACGAAAGAATACCTGATTTAAAAACTATATAGTTTTTACAGTAACAATACGATTTTTATGATAATATGATAATAAGTCTAATTTATGACTGGAACAAGACCACACCCTAAAAAAGTTTTCAAGTCGCCGCTAATATAATGAATCCATCTACCCACAAATCTTTAAATGGAATCCCGCTCTTATTTTAATTTAGCTTTATCAAATTTTGAACAAAGTATAATTAGATTGATTTTAAAGTATTGATTTTAATAACTATTTTTGAATTTAGATTGCTACTCGGAATCCGAAACCGGTCCTTGTAGAGCCTTCTTTCGAAAATTCTATTATAACACACGCACTGGTAGGTGTGAATTATTCATCTATGGTGGCTGCCAAGGAAATGCTAACAGATTTGACAACTACCATGAATGCTCCGCAACTTGTAAGTATATATAGATATATAGATTAAAACAGATAAATATATGTACTGCCTGAATCCTTTGGTAGTAAATTGTCAGTAAATAAATTAGTTTTTACAAAAAACAGCATTAAATTATCCATCAATAAAAATGCAGTTCTAATCTCGATTTGCTTAAAAGAATACACCTAAAGACCAAAGCATTCGATAATATCATTCATGCTTACAGAAAAAGTTTAATTCAAAACTTGACCAAAAGAAACAGTCTAGAATTCAACAAATAAACATTCTCGAATTAGCGGCATTGGTTTAATATATTTTGACTAGTTATATAGGGATTACAAATAGGTATCATAGTACTACATAAAAGTAATTTTTTATCGTTGGTAACTCAACCAGTCATTTGACGAGAATTTGTGCCTTTGTCATTGTAATTACTTACTTATGAATTATTATTTTATTTTACACTAGGTGGACGCTGGTGGTTCTGGTGTTAAAGGAGTGATTTCAGATAAAGTGAAGATAAAAACAAGAATAATTATTACTCGCTGAAAAGACTTTTTTAATATACTTCATAATTTACTTATATACGAGAATTGTGCATAGCAAAAATATGGAATGTTTATTAAAAGTTCACAAGACTTTATATCAAATTACTACTCCTCTGATTAAACAGTACTTATGTTCGAAATACAATTTGACTAAATGAGACTGATGAGCGATTTTTACAAAGTTAGGAACATTTTATGGGATAGATGAAGTAAGATGAATATAAAATTGTAAAAGGACTAATTCGTCTCAATTCATATAAAAATTCGGTAGTTATATTTCAATAATGAAACACAGAATGAAATTATTCGCCTTCAAAGTGTCAATATACCCTATCACGAATATTTGAAAAATAATATTATCAAAACATTATTTATACTTTGGTATAACGTAAAAGTTTTGGAGTAATCTGACATCTAGTCTGATCGATTGTTGGTTCAATGTGACAAATGGAAGCTTGAAGATGAGTTAGCATTTGCCCAGCTATCTTGAATGTGTTTAATTTAAATTTCATCCCATCGCAGTCATTGTTGTATGAATCCTAAGTAATGTATGTCGACTGACAGTACGAAAAAAATTGAAATATTATGTTTTGGCCAATCGTAATTGCTCATTATAGAATTTCAGTAATGAGCTGCAATGACAATTAAAAATTTTAAATATAAAAATAGAAAGTGTGACTGCACAAACTTACAGATTGGCAGCTTAGCAAAAGATTTGTTGGCATTCGATGACGATAAATTGAGATAGCTGTCGAATAAGATCGATATGCCTAATTTGTTGAATGCACGAAATGATATATATCGCTATGTAACACAAACTGTAATTAAAGTTTGAGCCATTGCTATCTCACATCAATCACAATAAACGTGACTTGGATTAGGTACAAACGCATATCAAACAAAAAACATGGAAATCTCCCATTTGCGATATGCTGAAGGGATTTTAAACCGCAAATGAATTATCAAAACCAAAACTGGATTAATTACATGGTGGATTTGTAATACACGACTAGTAAATTCTCCTGTAAAAACTACAACGCTATATTGGAGGAAAATAATCGCGATACATGAGAAGTATCGTATATAACCAAAACGACATAACTACGTTCAAACGTGTGTTTTTAATGAATAATAGGGGATAAAATCTAAAAAATTCCGGTAAATCTAAATTTAGATAGCATTAAACTTATTTTGTGTCATCGAAAAAAAAATAGCACCAAAATTGTGTGTTTCAATGAACACGAATTCTTCTGATCTTTTATTATCTTATTAAATCGGCAAAAGGCAATGTCTTTCCATGTGGCCTTGTTTTTATTTGCTATACGGGCATAAATTCAAGGTGGAATAAGATCTGGTTAAAGATATTTTTATCCATTGCACTATAATAGCTCTGTTAATTATTGATATATAAATGTGATTAGCAATAGAAAAATTAATTTACTCCACTATCCAGAACCACGAAAAAATCAAATCGAGTTGATAATGATCTTGGGTATTTATAGATAAAGTTTTAAGCTAGATTTGAAATAATATTCTAAAACCAGAAAATAAGAACAACGCCGTGCCTTGTCGCGCCCGATGAAATGTTGGACATATTTGCTGTAACCTCATGGTTATCAATTTTTAGTTATTCTTTGCACAACAGAGCGTTTAATTGCGTGAAGTTAATTTACGGGCCACGGGCCGCAACCCGGCCAGCCAAGGCATTTAGTGTGGCCCTTGTCAACACACATATTTCCCCCACCATGCATAAAATCCCAATCTGATTCATTATGTTTAAAAAGGCGCTGCTGCCATTCTGCCCGTTTTTTTTTTTATTACTATAAGGCAAAGCGATATCACATTCTCTTCACTTGGCAGCTGACTGATGACAATTTGGCCAGTCAGCAAATGGTTGCTACAACTTCTGTCAAAGCTGATGTTAACAACTATGTAAGAACTCAAAATTTCAATTGTCCCACTAAAATGTTAAAAAATAAAACTCTGCATTGTGTAAATTGTGAGAAAAAATAAACAATATTTGGTGCTCCAGAGGTATTCGTATCAAGATGCGCACAACCCTGAACATGGTATGTGTACCAAGTTAGGTTATTCAGGCTGTGCGTCATCTTGGCTTGAATAATTGCAGAGCGCTCAATTTTTTCTGTGGCCCGGCTAGTTCTTCTGAAGTTGTTATATGACCACCGACAAAAATGTTGCAAACCACGGCGTCTAAAATATCATTACAGGAGAGTGTTCATTCCTTAAATTTGGGTTTATTGTATTGATCCATTACGCAATTTAGAAAAGTTGATAAGAAGCGAACAACTTGCGTTTATTTAATAATTAATTCTATAATGATACAACAGCGTCATATTGCGGTATTCTATTCACATGTATTGTCCTATTTATACGTAAACAGTTGATAGTCGGCTTTTTGTGACATTCAAATGGGCATATAGCGCACAACTGTAGTCCTTAGTCAAATAAGGTCTTGAAATGTAATAAAATCATCTGTATTTCGCTGCTCATTTCAATATTACAGACGATGGTTGCGATTTTGAAAACAAATAAACACACATATATAAAGTGAGTCGAGACAATCCTTTTACGAGATACTTTTCTTTAATTTGGTATTTGTACAACAACATGGGTAAGTTACCAATGCCAGAAAAACTATTAATTTGCTGAACGAAAGTCAGCTCTTTCGTCGCAAAAAAAGAAGTGTAGCAACCTTGTATTTTGATAACCTTGTTACTATGCATGAAATTTATCGTAATTACGAGTCTCCTTGAAAGTCTGTGGAAGCACCCTTCCTATTGATACAAGTGTTGAAGCAAATTTTCTTTCTAATCAAATGCCTAATTTCGTCCCAATTATGTCACTGTTATCTTACCTTGTTTATATCATGTGATGCGTGCATACAAACGGACTAATTTTACATTCTCACTTTCTTATTCTACAAACGTTTTATTCTGTTCGATTGCGTCAATCAATGACGTAAATTTTGAAAATAGAAACCTCACAAATACAAATATATTTATTTCTTGACATGATTTCAGGCTTGCATGAAATAAACAATATTAGTGCATGTAAATTAATATAATTATAATCATTTATATTCCTTTGTTGACCTAAACTCGGGATTAAAATAATATATTGTGATGTCACATTAAAAAAATTCGTGTTGTAATATGGAAATTGGAGCATTCAGTTGAATTGAATTTATTTGTTCAAATAAAACACACAATCTGAAAATGCAATGACTATGTTAAATGAATGAAGTGAATACAAGAGTTCTAATTGCATACAGGTATAAATCGTATATTCATTTATACAAGGAAATACGAACTGTATTCACATGGCGAAACTTTTCATTATTATTTAAAACGACACCGCTTTTGACGTGCTATTTTAGAAATCTTCCGATTGTAATTAGACTATATGGGGTGAATAGGGTAGATGAAATAAAATATACAATAGCCATCATTTTATTCATTCAATTCTTTTATATCTATGTAGAATGAAGCGTTGACAAATAGTTAAGCAAACTGTTAGATCTTGGCATGATCAAACCTTAACCATTCAATCCAAAGAAAAGGTTTAATAGTGTCAATGTCGAGAATGCTTGCGAAGGGCAATACTAATTGCCAAAAATAACAAATAAAAGATTGCAAAAAACGCAACTTGGTCTAAAAAGCAAAATGTTAGTAAATGACTGTACTATGTGGATAATTTCACTATGAAGTTTATTGAGTAACCAAGATTTATATTGCAAGAAGTTGATCAGCTGCCAATCATGATGTCATATATGCTACAGAATACATATTACTGTAAACACAATTACACGTTAACTAAACCGCCAAATAAGGAAGGGATTCAGGTAATATTAATAGCGAAATCTTTTAATGCAAATCAGAAACGTTTAATAAAATGCAATTAATTTCTAAGATTGAAACCATTTGATCGTGCAACGTTTTGCTACTCTTACTATTATAAAAGGACCGAATCGAATTGTGCAATCAAACATTGATGACATTATTCCGATGATAAGAGCGAATCAACAAATCAAAAAGTATGGTTTTGCGTTGGATTTTGTTTGCTAGTGTTCTAGTTGCTCTTGTGGCTCAGTCTCAGGGTTCATGGTTCAACAGTTTTCGCCGAAGCTTATATCGAAATATTGACAATGACAACAACTATAACAATTATGGTAATGGTCAGTATTTTGGCAATGCTGCCTACCAAAGAGAAGAACTAGCCGACTGTTCAAGTATGTATAGGAATATTATTTAACTTGATGATATTATTGCTAAAACAGATCTAATTTTTTCAATTCCTGCCTACAGTTTCTCTTTCAGTCAATGGAAATATGTATACAACAGTCCATTACACGAGTCGTATTATAGTAATCACAACTTCATGCTTACTCTATTGCAGTATATTTTTTTAAACTTTTATATGTATTCTTCAGGATGCCACCAACCAAAAGAAGAAGGATTTTGCAGAGGATTCTACAGACGATGGTATTACGACATAAAAAATCAAAGATGCATGCCCTTCCTTTATGGGGGATGTATGGGAAATGCAAATAAATTTAAAACCCGCCACGATTGTTGGGAGTCATGTGGTAAGAATAATTTCATATATATATATATATATATATCGTAGCTGTTCAATACGTTTGTAAAATTCAAAACATTCGAAGGTAAAATTGATGCATTTTTAATCGTTATTGAAAGATAAACTTCTTAAATACTACTTTACACTACTCATAGACATAAAAATCAGTTTATAAGTTTCAATCTAAAAGCCAACTGTCAACTCACCATTATTTGTTTCAAGTAGTAGTCGAAAGTTGATGAATTTTTGCACTACACGTAAAGCTTGACCACAGGGAAGTCCAATTAAAAATATAAAATTTAGTATTTATCTTAGGAATAGTATATAATTTTGAAAAATATTTATAAATATTTCTATTGCAGAGAAGTTAAATTTTTCCTTGTTTTATTTGTTCACCCTATTCATTTCCTATTTATTTTTCACAATGATTTGATTTTATAATTCAGGTCATTGCAGACTGAAGGAAGAACGAACTTGGTGGTAACAAATTAAATTTCTGAAAACGCATAGGAAGGATCAAAGAGAATAGTCAAAAGGAGAACTGCCTCATGAGAGTCGCTCATCCCCATTGTCAATATTTACGCCTTTTAATTTTTGGAAAATCCCAATACAGTAAAAAACAGGGTTGTTACTTATTTTAATTAAGCACAACAATATGAAATATACAGTTTTTATTAGTCATTTCTTTTGTTCCATTTGTAATAAAATCCAAACGATGCTTGAATATATTTTAACAGTTCCTCAATTTTGCATTGTTACAGTGAAATTTTTAATAACTATTTTAGACATCATATTCACAATATTATTATTTACTTGTAGAAAATGCACTCTTATGATTTCTAGAAATATTTGATGTTATAGTTTGCTTGAACGTTATATTGGTGATATTTAGATAAAGTGGGTTCAGATTGCTATTGAATTAATTCCTACAGAATAAATCACTTTCATCGATGAAATAGTCAATTGGTGAAATCGCACTGCTGATAAACTTATCTACGCATTCGAGCTTGTGTGGGCCGAATCGTCAGGTTCGAAAAGTCTGTTTACCGTAAATATCAAACACGAAGAAGGCAAATCGTAGTTATAAATAGCGGCGAAATGAATGATAAATTGGCGCTTACTATAAGTCACAATCGGAAGCATAAAAATTATTTTTACAATAGGGCTCACTTCAAAACATATTCTGAATATTTCGACATACCTTACTGTGTTGTAGACCTTTCTATTTATATTCCAAACAAAAAAATTGGTGACTAGTTTAATTGACATTTAAATAGACATAGAATACATGAATTGACACTAAATTCCATAGCGCAAAACTGCGAAAACGAATAAAATCAATTGTTTATGGTAATTTATTCTGGTGACATTGTTGTAGCACACTTAGCATATATTCTCAGTTAATAATAGGCCCAGTGAAACAAGTTTTTGTGTTCGTAAAAGTTAACGACTAGTTCTTTGTTAATATTAGCAAAATTGCACACTTTAAACGTTATCAAGTTTCATATTACAATGGCGTTGATACTGAAATGCTATTGATTCTTGATGCTCTTGCTTGAATGCCAATATTCCGGTTAAACGTATGTGATGTCATGCGACAGCCTCCATTCAGGAAATTCACAGTAGCATGTCGAAGTTCACTGTAGAAAAATTACAGATTAATAAAATTGACAAAGTGATTGTGAACATCTATATAATTGGTGACAACGAACTATAGATAGACCCTCATGTCTTATGAAGTTATACTTAAATAAATTACTAATGTACTAAGAGGTAAATAAATTAATATAGAAATTAATATCTTCTGTTCGAATAATTTGATGTAAGATTACGTAAGAACAAAAGGTTGCCACGTCCGATCAGACTTAAAACTGTTTGATACTAAAAACTTTTGCATACTACTAAAATAAATGCATTGGTGGAGGCATCAACCAAACATCCAAGTATCGATGATTATTCTTTCTCAAAATGCGGTACGTATATGTATAACAGCCAACCTGTTATTCTTTTAGCAGAATTGTTTGAAAGTTGTTCACCAAGTTACTAATTTTACTTAGAAATTATTAGTAAGCCATTTTCAATTTTAACATGTTTACCTCGAAGCAAAGTTGTAAAATATCGGATTCAAACATTCTGACAATCGTAAAACGCAGTGAGAGACAAGACTGAATACAACTTCCGTTTCGACTAAAAGTGGTTTTCCTCGTTGAATAGAAGCAATGGCTGTAACTCTATAGGCTGAATAGTAAAAAGTTTTAATCAACTTGTCACCAACAGGCATGATAAAAATAAATAAAAAACTCACACACATCTGCTGAATATCCGAGTAAAAATGACACAACAATCAAAGCGAGTTGAATTAAAGCGAATTTTTCACTTTTCCTGAAATCGTTTCTGACACTTCGAACTAAAAAAATATTTTGAAAAGTTTATGATAAAATCTTGCATACCTCAATTTTAATTATTACCTAAGATTCTAATTGTGTTTCATAAAGAGTGAACATTCTGAATAACTCTTGAAAACCGTTTGTGCATTCTTTTGCACTAGTAAACTGGAAGAACGGACGAACAAATACATACGTGGACATATGAAACATAGAATAACAAAAAAACATACTGTGACGTAATTTTCTTTTGCGATGTATCAACACAATTGCAATAGCCAGACATACAAACATAATCAAGATCATCGGTGCGTATATTAGAATAGGAAACGCAACCATGGCGTACCAAAACATTGTTGGTGCCCTGTAAATACCAGTGAAATTATAATATGATGTTTAAAATTCAGAAATTAACACATGTATTGTATTAGTTTTTTTGGAAAGATATATGCTACATAATTTAAAGTTGAGTGTTGGTGATTCATATTTTAGAATATACCCAAATACTCTATACCAGGGGTGTGCCACATGTTTTGTCGGCGGGCCATATTACCAACTTTAGACATCAAGCTGGGCCACACGAAAAATTCAGATTTCTATATGCACAACGAATTCATTATTACGTCACAATATAATGTGGTAAACGAGAATGCGACTATCGCTTAGCCTTACAGTAATAAGGCGCCAAGAAAAACGGCAAAGATTTAACACAGCGACAAGAACAAAGCTGTTCTTGGGCATGTACTTACCATATTTCTGTCATATCACATTTGTATCTAACTGGACTCGAGTCATCAATATATTCGAATCCAGGCCAACATAAGTAAACAACAAATCCTACTAACATTGTTTCTGCCCACACTGTCAGAATTAAGCACTGAAAAATGACATGTACATTTAGTCTCGAACTATAACAAACAAAAAAAATTCATTGTGTATTATATCTCCACATAGTTGACAAAAAAGTATTAACGAGCAGTCACTTTTTGATATTGATATTTCAAATATTCTATTGTCTTTTAATTGCCAATTGTTCAATCAAAACAAATTTGACAAACAAAGCAAGCCCTCTGCTTTCCTTCTTCCTATCATTTTTTATCTCATCGTAAATTTGAATAGGGGTACATTTTAGAATTAAAAAATGTTTTAGGCAATTGACTATAAAAATTGCACATACAATGCGAGTGCACGTTTGCTTTTGAATGAATATTTAGGCAACCAGCTGTGAAGTAAAATTATTGACTACCTTCGATTTGCTAATTGTCACGTTCCCGTATCGATGGGGAAATTTGACGCAATAAAAACGTAAACAACTGAAGATCAAAATATGTTGAATTGTTGATATTGACGTCCAAAAATCCACGGCTATTCCGAGCTAGTTTTACGTAACAAAAAACAAGTGATAAATCAAGTTAAATCAGGATACAAATTTTCAAACACATGGACACGAAGTAGTGTATCGGTATTGGTACGTTAAGTTCAGAAAACACCAAATTTTTAGAAAGAAAAATCAGTGAGCGTGGCGCACCAGAAATAAAAAAAAATCTTCAATTTTATTAAAATGTAATGGCAAAATTTTGGGTGAAATAAAACCCCGAAGAAATTTGAATAAAAAAAAAATAAATAGATTTGTAGCAACTTCTCTTATAGTTATTTGAGAAAAATTTGACGAAGAAATTGAAGCACCATTATTAATTTTTTCTATTTTTGGTGTTTATTGAGTACACCTTTTCACGCTCTGATTTCATAAAAATCGAGTACCAGAAACTGGCTCCGATCCAATTCAAGTGTGAGTACGCCTAGCGTATGTGTTATAACTACATGTATCGGTTATCGTTGAATGTGATTAAATGTTAAAAAAACAACTCATAAATAAATCGGCATTACCAAAGTCTGTGTCTGCTGTGAGAACACTTAAATATTATTTTATAGTATTACTATTATTTGTATTCTTAGGCGTGGTGACTTGAATGAATACTCAGCAGTGTATGGTTCCATTAGTATGTATTCTTACCTTACAGAATGCCAAAGGAAGTCTATAATCGTCAAATCCTTTTAATGACCGATAAGTCATAAATGAACTGTTTATTGAAGAAAGAAAGTCCGACACACAAAGACTCATTATAAATATATTGAAAGCCGTCCTGAAATAGAAAGCTATAATAACTAAACAGTGACGATTATTCTGAATTTAAAGTAAATGTTGAAGTATTGATTTTGCCTGCTAGCCCAAACTTAACAAGTGTTTGTTCCACCATTTTTTGTCATTATTTTGTGCGCATCATTATCACAGTGTTTATAATCATTAAATTTTATTCGACGACGCAGCTTGTGTCCCCTATTATATATAGTCAATTTTAACATTATATATCTAGTTCTATTCAATTTCAAATTCAAATACGATGCCAGTAGTTTCTAACTCCATCAAGCTTATTTTCATAATTAGGCTACCATAAATTATAATTCGTATTATTCAATATTAATAGACTTGTTTACTACAGTGAGGATCAGGTTAGGTATAAACTAGTGAAACAAGTTTATAGTTATTTATTGATGAAAAACCTCACAAACTGCAATGGCAAGTAGCAGAAAATTTGCGTCACAACAACCAAAATATTCGGAGAATGAGTATTCATTGTAAACAACGAATTTTTTCTGTGCTGTTGCCATATGCTCAAAAAGCTTAAATGAAAATACGTTTGATGAAAAAAATTACAATAGAAGCATGGAAATTTTTTTTTTTACAAAATTCTTTTATTACTATAAAACGTATAAACTTAAAAATATAATGAGCATTGATAGCGTTAAATTACCTTTAAATTGGATTCAATGTATTACAATGTTTTTCAATATATTACTCACTTTTTCATTTTATGTATAACCATGAATGTGATTCCGTTTGCAACCGTTCCAAATATTGTAGAGAAACCAAGAAAAGTAAAGATGGGAATAAGTTCTCTATCTGTGAATAATTTGTACATCAACCTGAATAAAATTAACTTACTGAAATATTTATATCAGTTTGTAGCTTACACATAAATTAGAACACGTATTTAGAAAAATTTTAATAAGAAATATATGTACGTTATACCGCTTATCTACGCATGAGTATTTACGAGCATGAGTATGATATAATAATTTTATTTCATCTGCTAATTCTATTTTTTCATTTAATATAATAAAATTCGATAAAGTACGACGAGACTACGCAATTTTAAGCAACAACAAAATTTTTCTCGATATCAGTCTTTCCCAGAAGTAAATTATTAAATTTCATTTTCATATGGCGTGAAAAGTATCGAATAGCAATTAATTATGCAGGAAATAATACCTCTGTTTAATAATTAAAAAATAGTTCAAATCAAAGACGTTTTTTGTGTTTGCACTGACGTCAAAAGTTCATTGCGGATTACGCTATGTATAGCTAATTTTTGATATATTTGAAAGAAGATTTTTTTATTCAATTTCATAATACCGAACCTCACAAACATAAGGTCTTAGAAAAAATAAATTAACAAAATCTTTGGAAAAAAATGGATTTTTTTGTAAGCATATTATCTGAAATTCTTATTCAGCCTGCAATTATATCACTTGAATGGCAGCAGATCAAATCTAGATCAAAGTCAATATTTTGTGCAAAGATCCGTAATATTTAAAATAAATGATAAAATTCATTGATAAATTGTTGTCCTCATTTTTGAAGTTTGACAGAGTCGGAGCTTTTATAGATTGGAAAACCTGTTTGATAACTTTTCTAATATTTGGTATACAGCATGCAAGCAAGATAGTGACTGAAGATAATACGCGACGTAATTTCATTGGTGGGAAAATCCTTTTTTAAACGCCCTTAATACAATCCACTGAAATTTGTATTCAAATGTAACAAGATTAAAGTAAAAATGTCAATAAATATAGTTACGCGACATCCAAATAAGTAATTATCAAAAATCAACGCATTTTTATCAGAAAAAATTCAAAAATGTAGTTCATTGTAATATTCATCTTACGGTGTATAGGAGTCTGTAGTGTTTTTAGCATATTGCGATAATTTGGTTCCTTCATCCATCTTCCACGTAGGTCAAATATAATCGTTAGATGATGTTTCAACTGAAGCATTCACACTTACAATAAGTCAAAAAAATTTAACATCTATTAGGACCTATTATTAAACGACTAATTAATTGGTGTCGCTAATTTTATCTCTTTTATAACACGCCCACTTGTGGCATATTTTACACAAAAATAAGCGTCGATTTCATGTTCCGTACAATTCATGCGAGCTGGCTACCTCCTCTCAATAGACTTTTCTAAAATGATTTCCATTTCGCAAACAAAAAGTCTCCTGCTGTGCGATTTTATTCGGCGCTTTTAAGAAGGTTGTTGTCGTGTATTTCCATGAATATTTAAACATTTGTTATTCTTCATTCTGCGTCAAGAGTAATATATAGCCAGCACTAGGGTAAATAGTAACCTTATAACAGGTAAACAATTGATTTTTGCGCTTTTGAAATAAAATGTCATTCCTGCTTGCAATGGCAAAATAATGTAACTCGATATTTGAATCCAACCAAAACATTCGAAAATGATTCAAATATGTTTTTTATATTTATATTTTTTAAATTAATATTTTAATTGATTTTTTTTGAGTATTTGATGTTCGTGACTTCTCTACGCTCTAATTTGAAGCAATAAAGAGAAGCAATAAATTAAACACAATTGGATATAAATTATTATGTTGAAACATACTTAATGGGAATTATATATACTCGTATATATATATATATATATATATATATATATATATATATAAATTGGGAATTGCTTATAATGACCGTAGTTAGAAGCGAAATTAGAATAAATACATTACAAAACAAGAAGCAAAAATGCATTTTACACACATCAGTGATAAGTTAATGAATAGTAGAAAGTATGAACAGTACTTTTAGGTACCGATATCTTCTCTAAAGCTTATTATAAATTAAAAAATTTTATGCGTAGCATTTTCTCATATTGTTACCTATAATCAAATAATCAAGCTGTTTGTTTTTAATTAAGATACGGAATATCAATTGTACCATTTAAAAGGCAATGCTCATTTCGGACGGTTCTAATGGGTTTAACCAATGGATAACTATACATTTATTGCAAATAATATTAATTTTGTTCATTCCCACAGACAGCGCAAGTGTTTGACGAGTTTTTATGTATTTTTGTTATTCTTAAATCTCATAACGCATGTTTTTCATTTTTTTTTTCTATTTTATCTCGTGGTTATTTCCCTCTTGTATTTTTCATGCTCTATTTTCGCGCGTGTCGATAGTAAACCTTTTTCCGGGAATATTGATAAAATCGTACTAATATTTAATATTTAATCGTGAAACTTTTAATGTAATCGTTGACCTTTAACTTATCTTATTAGAATAATGTCCTTCATAAACAATGACACCAACATTATTCCTAAAACAGCAAGAACATAACACCAAAACAAAACCAACGTTCCAAGAATCTTCTCGTGCCTCAAGGTAAATTGTTGATGGACGCCATAATTAGAATAACAAAATAAATTTTCGTTGTAATATTGAACTATCAAGTAATTATATTCAAAACAAAAAGTAATGTTGTCGCCTTTTCTTAGTGGAAACCATATTACAATTTTGTAAATAAAACTAGATTTCCGTTAAATTTAGGTATTTTTTTTCACCTAAATACGTATATATAAGATGAATGAAATTATCCATATATATATATATCAACTTTGCGTCTGGTTAAAAGATTTGAAGCGGTCTCAAAATTTGTTGTAGAAGGTATTCTATACATTAATTGAAACAAAAATATAGCGTGTGTATTAACAAATTTAGAGTGTAATAATATTTGGGATACGACTGAGTGGAAGAGTGAGAGAGAAAGAGTAAGAGGAAGAGTGTGTCTCAGTTAAATTATGCAATTTCTAAAACGATTCATTACTCTTTCTTTTTCCTTTAATTAAAAAATATCGATAAATTCTTTCCTTACTTTAAATTTTTTCATATCAACATACACAACTTTCAATTATTAAAACTTTGTACTATCTTTTTAAAGTCTTATTTTTAAAGCCAATCCCATTATTTTTTTTATTTTTTTCAAATTTTCAAGAACTTGTTTTCACTTTCAGCAAACTTAAGTTGTTATCAACCGGCAGATTTTAGTTATCTGTCGCCGTGCCCAGGGAAGAAAAGATGGTACTACGATCCATCGAAGTGTGAATGCAAAGCTTTTCCTCCTGATATGTGCAACATAAACAACAATGATTACAAAAACGAACCAACATGCAGAAAAAAATGTGGACTTGCCTAATATCTCCTTGGTTGATATCTCATTGGCAAAATCATTGGATGAAATACTATTGGATGCTATACTAAGTAATGTATACTCAAATCTATATCCAAGATTTTTAATTTTATTTTAGAAAAGCAGAGAAAACTTAAGAGACAATTGAAATTATTAAATTACTAATATGCTGGTACTGATTTATTTATGCCAAAACTTGCTCGTATTTCTAGCATAAAAACACTTGACAATAATGACATAAAAATGTTTCAACTCATTTTCACTCTTCATTTTGAATTTTCAATCTAAATGAATGTCAAAAAATGCATAGTAAACATCCAAGTAAATCTACGCTAATTTCTCAATGTTTTATAATGAATAGAGTCTGATAGATGCTCAAGCAATATAGCTTTTACATTTTACCTCGTGAGATATATACGTCAATTATTGGTTCTTGTTTTTATACATATTTGATGTATTTGTTATTGTAACGCCTGTATTTTTTGTTTTTTATTTGGTGGCCATATAACTTTTGATTTGTTGATGTCTCATTTTTTCTTGTTTATATACTAAATCCTTTTCTGGGGATTATTGATTAACCCTTTCTTATATTTAATTGTGATGTCGTAATCTTTAACCAACATGTCCGAATATTGTGCTTTATGAACTGTACCACGAACAACATTTATAGAAAAGCAAGAACATAACACAGAAAGGTTCCAAAAATCGCCTCGAGCCCCTAGCTAGGTGAATTGTTGATGAACGACAAAAATTAATAAAAATGAAATGGCTTTGTGTTTTATTATAGAATTATTTATGATTTTGTTTTAATATTGATGGTTATATTTTAGACAATGAATAAACTTATCGTCTTGTCTTATCGCAAACCACGGTAGGGTTTTGGTAAAAAAAAATTTTCGTTAAAGTTGGGGGATTGGGCAGCTGTTAATTTTGTTCCTTTTGGTTGGTTTAATTTCATGTACGTCATGAACATGTCACGACACTAGAAGAAAAATGTTAAAGTTAAATTTTACGTAGCCCGTTTTCACTGGGTAAATCATCAAAATGAGTATATACAAAAAAAATGAAATTAAGCATTTAATATCTTTGCGTTTGTAAAAGCATGTGAAACGGTTTTAACAATTAATGTTTTTATTGGTGACAAGTTATTCAATATAATTCTCATAGCATATCGATCTGTGTGTGTTAATATTGGAGATAAGGGGAAATGTGAAAGAGAAGTAAATGTCTCAGTCAAATTATACTATTTTCAAAACAGGAAAGCACTGCTTAAATATATGGACACCACTATGGCCAAGACTAAGTAGTATCAAATTTTTGAAGAAGTGGTAGTCTGTATTTCGGTCATAGAACCATCACACCTTGCTTTGTATAGGTTACTATCAAATAGCGCCAAATTAAGTCCTAGATTCAAATATAAAATATATCGAAACACAAACAAATATGAAATTATTTTAAGAAATTTTATTTATTTTATTTTATGAAAAAATTCATGATTGCGAAATATCATTCATAAAAAACAGACAATAAATATTAATGTCAATGCAAAATAGAAGTTCTCCAGATTTCTCTTTCTCTGTCATTATTGTTCTAATCATAATAACAACAACGAATCGATGCTCAAATATATGCACACGGAGGCAAGAGCGAAACAGTGGTTTAATTAACTTATCTCACCTGGTCTGCTGTACGGTAGGGTGAAACAACTTCCGATTTTCTCGTAGCCCGAGATAAGTCGCAGAACCGCAACAAATAAGTTTTCTTAGTTTTGAAAAGGTCATTACACAAAATTTCGAATTAAAATACGAATCACATAGAGCCCACAGAAAGTTTTTAAATGAATAAATAGAAACAGCCTTCTAGCGAGAAATGCAATTTTTAACCACTGACAATTGGTCCAGTAGTTAATGAGAAAAGGATTTTTTAATAGCAGTGAAAAGAAAAATACCAACAATAAAAAAGAACTAAAACAACATAATAATATCAAAACGATACATATGTACATTTCGTGTGCAATAATTTCAGCAAAATCTACGATTTACATAAGGTCTTTGTCAAACATTTGATTTGTAGTGAGTGTGTTGTATTTGATAAAAAAACATGTTTTAGATAAAATTATCAAAAACGTTTTGCCATAAAACGCTCATAAAGAAAAACTGTGAATTTTTCAAATGACTTTTAAATTAGATAGTCATAAATAGAATGAAATATACGTCAAATGCTGTTGCGAAACTACTACCTATTCCTGTAACTTATTCAGTTTTGTGTCCGAATGCGAAAGTTGTGAAAGTAATTTTGCTAAAATACCAATTTGATGAAACAACTTTTTCAATACTTTTAAAACCAAATCGCTCGCTATCAAAAACAACCCTTTTTTCAATTTCATTAAATTCAAGTTGGTATGATCCGGTGCATCTGATATCGTGCTCAGAAAATATGGTTCCACAATCACCTTTACTGTAAATTCAAACCTGTTTCTTCTGATTTTGAAGCACATACAAAAATGGTAAAAAAAAACGGATAATCTTAATTTCTAAATAAAATACTTGTTTTTCTAAAAATATTATTATTTATATATTAACTTATCCAACCTTCTGAGTGTCATTAAAATATTATCAGTGTTTAGAGTACGCCTCCAGTGTTAACTGTAATAAAATAGATTCGTTATTCAAAATATTTTCTGATCAGAATAATTGAAGCATTTTTTAGAGATTATTCTCAATTATTCAACATACTTATATATAAATACATAGGTCAAATTAGTAAAATGACGCATAATAACTTCATTTATCTATAAGTGACATCTTATAAACTTCTCTCACTTTTAATGATAACTGATTTTCGCTCGGGAACCTTGATGCAACGACGACATTCGTTCTCATTTCTAGGCATTCTCGTTTGCGAATGTAGAGAAAGCAACAACAATGGGGG